AAATACACTATTATCTATATAACAAACTTCTATCACGTTAATGTGCATATGATTCTAACTCGCTGTGTTTTTTTTTTTCTTGTTGTTATTAACGATTGATTATGTACATAAAGATTCACTAAATTCATGTTTGGAGATTAGCCCGTCTAAGTCTCTATGCTATATCAACAGTAAACCCCAACGATTTCAAAAATTAAAAATACTATAATGTTATGTTTGGAACCACAAGGCAAATGAATATACAATTAAACCAATTAAACGATATAAAATTGTATATATGTTCGTGGAGATATTGCAGTTAATGATATCTAATTAAATTTAGGGAATGTTAAGTTGATAACTGTAAATATTTACCCTTAAGAGCTAAATTGATAATTATAAAATAGCTTTGGAATTTTAAGATAACAAGAGTTATGAAATTAAATTGTTTGGATGGCATTGCTATTTCTGCAATCTTTTTAACACATAAAAGTTCAACTTCACTTCTCCGCATATGATTAAGAAAATTAAATAGGTCAACATTATCTCAATTACACATACTGTAAAAGAAAAGCAAATTATAAATTTATATGTTTCCAAAAACTTTCTATGGAAAAGGTAAATAATTAGTTAAAGAAAATGGAAGAGAGGTCACATGTTGTCATAAGAAAAGAGTGTAACATAAGAACAAAACTTACTTTGGAGCAGTGCCATAACAAGGTTTATCCTGTTCTTTCTTGAGGTTCATATTCTCTCCAGCACACCTTCTTTAGATAAGAAATACTCTCTACATTTCTAAAGATTTTTATTCTTAATTGGGATTTTAAGTACTATTACTTGTCAATTTTTGTATTCTGTAGTAATTTCTAGTTGATTAGTGACAAATTTGTGTAAATTATTTTATATAATTCTTATCATATTTGGGAACCAGCTATTTTACGGGCATATAAAATCTTCGTCAATATGTGAAAAAAAATTCATCTAGATATTTATAAACCATACTAAAAGAATAACAATAATTGGGGAGGAAACCAAGAAGGTATTTTATTTTATTTTCGAAAAAGGGCTTAAAAGGTGTCAAATTCTCGGTTACTCATTCCGTTCCATGAAGAATGATGTTTTGGCTTTTTCACACAAATTAAAAAATAATTAGTTGTAAATTATTAATGCATTACTTTTTTAATATTAACTATTTTTCAATACATATTAACCAATAGTAATTCAAAATTTAAATACTTTTAATTAATATTTCTTGAAGTTTGCAGAAAGTATCATTTAA